TGTGTTTTCAGGGTGAAACTGAGCGTGAAGGTGTGAGTGCGGCGCAGCTCCGTCATGGTCCTCCTCCACACTGTTCACCTGACAGCAGACCTGCTGCTGTGTGGAGGAGGAGGAGGAGGCCGAGCCGAGAACAAAGACGCTTATGTAAAGTCTTGAGTAAACACGGTCCTGATCCTCCCATGCTGCTGGTTCTGTTTATAGACGCTCAGAGCGCCCCCGTTCCTCCGATCGCTCTCTGAAAAAAAAAAAACAATCGTGGAGGATTTCCAGTGACTCACCCTCTTCCTCAGGTTGTAGGTCAGCACCAGGTTTCTGGCAAAGTGGTTGGAGAAGGCCGAGTAAAACTCCAGAACTTTCTGCAGCCCGTCTCGTTTGATGATGTGGAGGTCACAGTACGTCAGCGCCCGGACGTTAGCGCACGACTGAGCCAGCGTCATCTCCTTCCAGAACACGTCGCCGAACACGTCACCTTTACCTGTAAACGAAATCAGACAACCACAGGTTACAGACGTAAATTTTATAATAATCATAATAACCTGGAACATCATAACATAAGATAACTTTGAGTTAAAGACGCGTCTGTCTCTGCTGGTCGCCTTCTCTCCTCTGAAGGTCGTTCCAAAGTCGAGGAGCTCTGATGGACAAAGATCGATCGGCTTCAGTTTTGAGCCTCGACTTTGGAACGACCAGGAGACCCTCGCCAGAGGATCTGAGGCTGCGAGTCGACTTATAAGGTGGTAAAAGTTCTGACTCCTTCCAGATTTCTGTCTGTTGGTTTGATGATTACTGAATGTGGAGACTGTATGAGGGCGGAGTTTAGTATGTGACAGAGAATAATATCAGATTTTCAATCATTTATCTGAAGGAAATTTTGTTCCATCCAACAATAACGTCACTTCGACCGTCAGCTCGGCCTCTTGGGTCCTCGGGTCTCAAAGGTTTATCTGTGTGTCGTCTGCATAGCAGTGAAAGGAGACTAGGTGGCGCTGAATTCATTGGCCGAGGGGCAGCATGTAGATAGAAAATAAAATTGGACCTAAAACTGAACCTTGCGGTACACCACAGGCGACAGCAGAGGTAGAGGAGGTGTGGTTGCCGATGGTGACCGCAAAGGTTCGCTCTAAAAGACACGAGTGAAACCAGCCAAGAGCAGCGCCCCTGAGACCCGCCCACTTTTTAAGACGTTCAATTAAAATAACATGATCAGCTGTAGTTAAAACGGAGCCTCTATCTGCTGCTAAAGAAGGTCATGTAAAGCACTTTGAGGGTCTCTGATGAAGCACTACATGAAATCTTATTATTATTGTTATTATAGTTAAAATCTCAGGGAAGTTCTGTGGTGTTCAGAGCGGCTGATGTTCCTCCAGCTGTTCTAAAAAAGGATCAGATGGATGTCGGAGTGTCTTCAGTCTCCTGTAAACGCTCAGACCTCCAGGATGATGAATGTGTCGTTGATGGAGCAGCAGCAGAGCTCCGCAAACACACCGAGAGGGAGCAGCTGCAGCGACAGAACATCAGTCTGAATGTGAGAGGAGGAAGTGAGGCCGAGGTGAGCGCACTTTAAAATGATGTGAAACTGCAGGAGGAGGAGGAGTTCAGCGAAGAAAGTTTCAGATCGATGTGGAGGGAAAGTCTAAATATTTATCCAGAGAGGAAGTGAAGCTGCAGTCCGACCTTCAGACCATCAAACCGTAAAACCTCACCCCTGAAGCCCAGAAACAGGCGACACATCTCAGTTCCTCTCAGAGTCTCAGCCTCAAAGTCTGGACCAGAAACAGGCAGAAACAAACAAACACTTTCTTCACAACATTTGGGTTCTCTCAGCGGGTCAGGGTTCAGGGTTCAGGGTCCAGTCAGGACCGCATCAGTCCAGGATCTCAGCAGGTCTCTTCTCCTACAGAACCCTGCTGTTGTCAGAATGTGGTTTGGGTTCATATGAAGGTCCTTCCTAAACCTGAAGATCTTGTTCAGCATTAATGGAGCCTTCACAGATGAGGAAGATACCCAAAACGCAAAAGGTTACAAACCCCGAGAGGAGCGAGGAGCCCATGGCGCCTGAAACAGACGACCATTCAGTCGGCTTTCTCTAGAGCGACGCCTTACGACAAAACGCCAAAGAGACACAAAGACCTCACAGATGCAGGAGATTCTTGTGTTGGACATTTACGATTGACATGATTTTTTTTACATCGTGATAAACTTTTATCGCCCAGCCCTACCTCAGACCATCGGGGATGCAGGTTCTACCCTCTGAGAACTTCTTTAGTCTGATCCCTGACCCACTGAGGGGTCTGTCTCACGAAGTGAGTGGATTTTAAAGTCAAAGTGACCCTGTTACTGACTTGTTCCTGAATCAGAGATGGTCATGGTTTTCCTGAGGGGCCAGAAGATTCGTCTTTATTTCACTGTGACAGACCGACCTGGAGGGACCAGGTGGAGAGTTCTTGATGTCTTCTTCTTCTTCTTCCCTGATGATGATGATGATGATGATGATGATGATGATGTGTGACTCAGGGTTTCTTTTGAGACCTTCCCTCAGCCTCTGCGCTCACTCAGCAGAAAAGAAAAGTGGATAATTTCAGCAAACAGTTTAAGAGCTCAGAGAGCGAGAGTTAGAAAGACTCTGACAGCTGTTCAGTCAGCCTCGCCCGCCCACCCCGACGTGTGAGCGCTCCCCTCCATCAGCAGCATCATCAGAGGCTCACAGAGAGACAAACCAACAAAAGTCTTCCTGCACTGAAGTGCTGCTTTGCTAATGAGAGCCCTGGAGCTTCAGTCCTACGCACTCTGACGGAAATAGCAGACATGTTCCTGTTGTGAGTGCAGAGGAAGCAGCTGAGCGTCTTTGTGCTCTGATCCTCTGCAGTGTTTTGGTTTCTCAGCTCAGGTGTTTCCTCCGCACTGAGGAGGAGGAGGAGGAGGAGGAGGAGGAGGAAGAAAAACACATTTTAATCCTGCTTTTGACATTTGACGTGTGTTTCTGCTGAAGGAGCTTTAATAACCTGAGAGAGTCTGAACAGACCCAAACCCAGAAGACTCTGCAGATTTAATCCTGCGTGTTTTTAAAGAGGAGACTCCATCTGAATGTTTGGAGAAAGGAGAAACACAAAGAGGAACCTTCTGCTGTTTGTTTGACGTGAAGATACACAACATCATCCTGAAGCACCTTCAGCAGAGATGAAACAAAGCTGAGAATCACAGCTTCTCCGAACGAGCTAAGGAAGGAGCGGAAGCCTCAAAACGAGACGAGACTTCTGAGACATTCAGAGATAAAGTCACTCTAACACCTGAAGTCACTCTCACACCTAAAGTCACTCTTACACCTAAAGTCACTCTTACACCTGGAGCTAAAGTCACTCTTACACCTGGAGCTAAAGTCACTCTTACACCTACAGTCACTCTCACACCTGAAGTCACTCTTACACCTAAAGTCACTCTCACACCTGGAGTCACTCTTACACCTAAAGTCACTCTCACACCTGGAGTCACTCTTACACCTAAAGTCACTCTTACACCTGGAGCTAAAGTCACTCTTACACCTAAAGTCACTCTTACACCTAAAGTCACTCTCACACCTAAAGTCACTCTTACACCTGGAGCTAAAGTCACTCTCACACCTTAAGTCATTCTCACACCTAAAGTCACTCTTACACCTAAAGTCACTCTCACACCTAAAGTCACTCTTACACCTACAGTCACTTTCACACCTAAAGTCACTCTTACACCTGAAGTCACTCTCACACCTAAAGTCACTCTTACACCTAAAGTCACTCTTACACCTAAAGTCACTCTTACACCTAAAGTCACTCTTACACCTAAAGTCACTCTTACACCTAAAGTCACTCTTACACCTAAAGTCACTCTTACACCTAAAGTCACTCTTACACCTAAAGTCACTCTCACACCTAAAGTCACTCTTACACCTAAAGTCACTCTTACACCTAAAGTCACTCTTACACCTAAAGTCACTCTTACACCTAAAGTCACTCTTACACCTAAAGTCACTCTTACACCTGGAGCTAAAGTCACTCTTACACCTAAAGTCACTCTTACACCTGAAGTCACTCTTACACCTAAAGTCACTCTTACACCTAAAGTCACTCTTACACCTGAAGTCACTCTTACACCTAAAGTCACTCTTACACCTGAAGTCACTCTTACACCTGGCTAGTCACTCTTACACCTGAAGTCACTCTTACACCTGAAGTCACTCTTACACCTAAAGTCACTCTTACACCTAAAGTCACTCTTACACCTGGAGTCACTCTTACACCTAAAGTCACTCTTACACCTGGAGCTAAAGTCACTCTTACACCTGAAGTCACTCTTACACCTAAAGTCATTCTTACACCTGGAGCTAAAGTCACTCTCACACCTAAAGTCACTCTCACACCTAAAGTCACTCTTACACCTGAAGTCACTCTTACACCTAAAGTCATTCTTACACCTGGAGCTAAAGTCACTCTCACACCTAAAGTCACTCTTACACCTGGAGCTAAAGTCACTCTTACACCTAAAGTCACTCTTACACCTAAAGTCACTCTTACACGGGAAGTTAAAGTCACTCTTACACCTAAAGTCACTCTTACACCTGCAGTTAGTTTTAAACACATAAACATTTTATTCTGACGTTCAGAATCAAAGATTGATCGATCGATTGATTATCCCAAACACCAGCGAATGAATCAGAAACTCTCACCTAAAATGGCCACCACCTCGTCATCCTGGATGACCTCCAGTGACCCCGACACCACGAAGCAGAGGCTGTCCACGCTCTCACCAGCGTGGAAAATGAGGTCGCCCGGCGCACTGTGGACCGTCTGGAACTCCATGGCGAGCGCTCGAAGGCAGCCGTCACTCGCCAATCTGAACGCCGGGTGCTCCTTAAACACCTTCCTGTTCAGGTGGACACAGATATCTGCACGCATGTCCTTTGGACAGATCTGCAGCACCTGCAGAGGTCACACAAAGGTCACACAGAGGTCATACAGAGGTCACAGTAGTCTTCGGCTTTCTGACACCCTGAGTGGACGGCTGGTTACCTTTTCTGTGTCGATGCCTCTGGACATGGACCAGGTGGACACGATGTAGTCCATGACACGCTCGCTCAGACCTTTGGGGACCTGGTAGAGCTTCAGGAAGTCTCGCACGCTGTTGAGCATTTCGTGGTAGCGGTTGGTGTTGGCGTACATCTGCTGGAAGATGGTGGTGACGTTACCAAAGATGGTGGCGTACAGCAGCGCTGGAGACAGGAAGTGAACAGCATTCTGTTAGAGGATGTGCTGAATCAGAGGTGACTCTGTGGAAGGTTGTCATGGCGACAGGACGAGATACAACACAAAAACAACACAACAACACAAAAACAACACAAAAACACACAAAAAAGACTGTGATCCAGGTCCTCTCTTTAACCAGAACTTTTAGACCCGGGTTTGTTTCAGCACCGGTTCTGTTCCTGAGACCTCACAGCCAGAACCAGAACCAGAGTCTGAATCAGACTGAGGGGTGGTGTTGTGGGTTCTGGTCCGGTCCAGTCTCTCTGGTTTTTCTCTCAGAGTCCATCCTGGTCTCACCCTGAACATCAGAACTCAGTGAGTTAACGGTCCAGACCTCCATCTCAATCCAGGATGCTTGCTGCCATGGCAACAGCTTCAACACCAGCCCCTCAGTGAGTGTGTGTGTGTCTGTGTGTGTGTGTGGGTGTGTGTGTGTGTGTGAGTGTGTGTGTGTGTGTGTGTGTGTGTGTGTGAGTGAGTGTGTAATCCAATATTCAGCTCCTCATTCAGATTCAGAGGAAACACTGAAGGAAGCTAAAAGGTTTACCCAGAGTGCACTGCGCCCTCAGCACAGAGGCTCTACAGGAGCCCCAGAGGGACACGCCATCAGAGCAGCAGAGCGCCGCACTTACCGACAGGAAGTGAAACAGAGCATGGAAACACCTTAGTCCGACTGTAACCAGAGTTTGAGGTGATTGGAATCCGATTTTCTCTACCATGTAACCAGCGTAGTCGGAGTATGATCGGTTAGAGGCCACGCCCCCCTAACCCCGTAACAAACCCCCAGAGTAGAGGAGTAGCGTTGGTCTCCTCTTTAGAAAAAGTAGCGCGTCCATCATGTCGGACAAAAACAACGCTGTACGATGCTCCATCTTCTTGTTTCTCCAAAATGCCCAGCAGCAGTTGTAGACACTTCTGACGTCTGACACCGACCTGCTGTTGTTGTTGACGGTTGGATGGGGTCGGAAACAGCGCCGCTGAAAAGACCCATATCGCCCCCTAGTGTTGAGGAGGAGGACACGTTCACGTCAATAATTCAGTTTTCTCAGCTGCATGTAAACGAGGACGAGGAGAGAAGTCGGATTCAGAGAGAAAGACGAATTATGAGTTTAGTCTGATTAAACTGAGACTGTAAACTAGAGCCCAACCGATTTATCGGCGAGACGATTAAATCGGCCGATTTTAGCTCGTTTGAGACTGATCGGTAATCCGCCAAAACTTTTCTCAGATTTTTTCAGGAATAAAATACGGAGAATAAGATTCGGTCGTTAAAACGCTTTTCTGGAGTTCGATCAGTCGGTCTTCCTGTCGGCGTAAAGAGCAGTAACCTACAGTATGAAAAATAAATACATATATTTACTGTCTCTACAGTATGTCTTAATAACTAATTAATCAGTTATTGATCCCCCCAATAATCCATCTGGGTCGGCCCTAATGTAAACGTACTGATTCATTTACAGCATGAACTTCTACGTCCACTGAGACAAGAAAGAGACGCGCCTGTCTCGACACGTCCACTACCTGCACCGACAGTGAGTCCTCCTCCCAGAGATCGCCTCCACCCCCCCGAGTCTCCTCGTTTACATCACTTCCTGTTCAGAGGAGACAGAACACGGACGCTCCTCTGAGAACCATCAAACACACCGAGAATTAAAATCCGCTCTGACAGACCGGGCGCCGTTATGAAACCACCACCAGCACCTCCATTTCCTCTGAGTGCGTGTGTGTGTGAGTGCGTGTGTGTGTGAGTGTGTGTGTGTGTGTGTGTGTGTGTGTGTAGTGCAGCTGCTAAAGCTGCTGACAGCTGACAGCTCCTTTAACACCACAGTCCTGCGTTCGCTCCGCGGCTCAGACTCTGGAGCTGAAATATCGGAGCTGCTGCAGGATCAGTCAGTCAGGCAGGCTGAATCAGGCGTCCTGCTGAGCGTCTGGCTGGTGTGTGTGTGTGTGTGTGTGTGTGTGTGTGTGTGTGTGTGTGTGTGCAGACTGAAGCAGACAGCCGATCTGACAGTACGGTTAATATTTCAGCCACACCAGACCGAAACATGTCAGGACTCATCAGATCCACCAGGAAACAGCTGCTGCTGGGGAGACTGTCTCCGTGTGTCTGGATCACACAGACCAGACCTCTGCTGAACCGACCGGGCTCAGACCCAGGGTGGAGGTCTGTCCCTGAACTCCATCTCCTCCCGGTGTTATTGTCAAACCCTCAGGAAGGTCGATCCGCTCTGGATCATTGGCGTACAGACCAGGAGAACCTCACAGGGACCAGTTTGACAAAGATGTGCTGGACTGTGTTTCTGTTTCTGTTTCAGTCCAGCTGTGAAACTTCAGCATCTCTCCTCCAGAACCAGAACCAGAACCACCATTCTCAGCTACATCTTTGGATCATAGTGGAGCTTTCAGACCGACCCGTGTTTCCAGAACTCGTCTGGAGACTCTGATCGTGAACACTGAAGCGTTTCTCTTCCGACTGTTCCTTTAGAGGCTGACTCGGTTCACCACGGTCCTCAAATTACAGCGCCAAATACCCAGTGACCTCTGCAGAGGATGAAGGTCACACGGATCAACGGCGCACACACACACACACACACACACACTCTCTGATAACGACTCACATCCGATCATCATCATGGCCACGGCGAAGATCTTCTCCCCGTCCGTGTTGGGTGCGATGTTCCCGAAGCCGATACTGGTCAGACTGGTCATGGTGAAGTACAGCGAGGTGATGTAGACCGAGTCTTTGCTGGGCCCGCCCTCCCAGCGGCCCGAACCCGAGGCGTTGAACCTGTACGGCGTCCCCACCGTCTGCCCGAGCAGAAACAGCCAGCTGTCCATCCTCACCGTGTTGGTGTCCTCGTCGATCACCTCGTAGTCCCCGATGCTGTACCAGATACACGCCAGCCAGTGCGCCGCCAGCCCGAACACGCACACCAGTAAGACCAGCACCGCCGCGCCGTACTCGATGTAATGGTCCAGTTTCCGGGCGACTCGGCCCAGACGCAGCAGACGGACGACTTTGAGGGAGCTGAAGAGGCTGCTGATCCCCTGAGGAGGAGGAAGAAGACTGTTTTAAAACTTCAAAATAAAAGCATCACCAATACAAGACTTTTATTTTGAAGGTCTGATCTTTGTACTGAAAACTGTTTGTGCCGAGGGGAAACTTTTATTGATGCTTTTATTTTGTAAATGTTTTTAATTGATCAAACACAGAGAACATGTCAGGATACACACACACACACACACACACACACACACACACACACACGCACGCACGCACGCACACACACACACACACCTCTGAATCAGCTCCTTAAAATGACGACACAGTGAAACCTCGACTCGACGCTCGTCCCTGAAGTTCCTAAAAGTTCATCGAGGAAAAGTTTCCGTCAGTTTGAGACGAGAAGAACTTTGAGGAGAAACGACCTGAAATAAAACCGTCTCTGCAGTCGGACTTTTGTCGTCATTTTCTTCCGCTTCATCCTGGTCCGGGTCGCGGGGGCAGCAGCTTCAGGAGAGAAGCCCAGACGGCCCTCACCCCGGCCACTCCCACCAGCTCCTCCTCCTTTGGGGGGATTCCCAGGCTCTCCCAGACCAGGCCAGAGATATAATCCCTCCACCTGGTCCTGGGCCGACCACGAGGTCTCCTCCCGGTGGGACATGTCTGGAACACCTCTAACGGAGGCGTCCAGAAGGCGTCCTAACCAGATGCCCGAGTCACCTCAGCTGACTCCTCTGGACGTGGAGGAGCAGCAGTTCTCCTCTGAGCTCCTCCCGAGTGTCCGAGCTCCTTCCCCTATCTCTAAGGCTGAGCCCGGACACCCTGAGGAGGAAACCCATTTCAGCCGCTTGTATCTGCGATCTTGTTCTTTCGCTCATTACCCAAAGTTCATGACCATAGGTGAGGATCGGCACGTAGATCGACCGGTAAATCCAGAGTCTCTCCTTACGGCTCAGCTCTTTCTTCACCACCACTGATCTGTTAAACGTCCGCATCACTGCTGACGCCGCTCTGATCCGCCTGTCGATCTCCTGCTCCATCCTACCCTCACTCCTGAACAAGATCCTGAGATACTTGAACTCCTCCTCCTGAGACAGGACCGCCCCTCTGACCTGGAGAAGGTGATCTACCTTTCTCAGACTGAGGACCATGACCTCGGACCTGGAGGTTCTGATTCACGTCCCAGCCGTGAACCGCCCCAACAAGAGCTGAAGGTCACTGCTCCACAAAGATAGAAGAACCACATCATCTGCAAAAAGCAGCGACGTGGTCCTCTGCCTGCTGAACTGGACCCCCTCCACCCTCCACCTCCCTGACCTCATCTCCTCCATCAGCCTGAAGAGTCACTCTGGATGACGTGTGACTCCAGCGTCAAACATGAAATATGAATAAAAACATCTGAATCATGAATCAAACATGAAACATGGATGAACTCTTCCTCTCCTCTCTAACCGCCTCTTCACTTTCTCCAATCAACAGCACAGTCTCCTCACGCAGAAATCTCCCACAATGCACTGCTCCTCCATCAGCTGCCTTTAGTGGTGACCAGAGGGAGGCTCACGCTTGATTTCATCCTGATGGGCTGAAGTGCGAGATTTAATCTGCGGCCCTTCATCTCCACTCCACGACCACGGCGACGCTGTTTTCCTCCTCCTCCTCCTCACAGAAACACGGCGGGCGTCATTATTTCTTTGTTTCCTCCGATCACGACGCAGACGTCTCACGACTGAGACACGGCGAGCTCTGATGAGACAAAGACGGTGATTCTAAACGGGAAGAGACGCCGATGTCACCTGACCTCAAACACAATGACGACGCCAACATAATGCCGCCTCCTCTCCTGCTTCCTGTTGAGAGTTTAGACGACATTTTAGAAACACCAGGTCACAGTATTGAAGCCCCGCCCCCTTTATAACAGTACGAGCCTTTTCAGAGGCTCCGCCTCCGCAGACGGTCAGCAGGAGAAAAAACACAAGAACAACCTGTTTCCTCCTCCTCCCCTCTCCTCCTCCTCCTCTCTCTCACCCTCCTCCTCCTCTCTCTCCCCCCTCTCTCCTCCTCCTCTCTCCTCCTCCTCCTCCTCTCTCTCCCCCTCTCTCCTCCTCTCTCTCCCTCTCTCCCCCTCTCTCCTCCTCTCTCACCCTCCCTCCTCTCCTATCTTCTCCTCCTCCTCCTCCTTTGTGTTTCAGACTGAATTGATCATCTGAAGATCAGACTTTGAGGTTTTATTTTATTCACGTCAGTTTTTTTTATCTTTAGATTCAAACAAAAGAAACTCTGACATCAGCGTCTGTCCGTCCGTCCGTCCGTCCGTCCGTCCGTCCATCCGTGGCGTTTAGCTGTCGTGCTCCACGGCTTCATATGACGTCACTGATCTGCACGCTCCCCTGTGGAAGGGCAGGTTCTGAGGCCAGTTGGCGCTGACCGGCCTGGCTTCAGCGGCGCCTCTGGTTTCATTCGTTTGTGTGTCTCATGTGACGACCCCGAGCGGCCGTGTCCTCTGAAAAACCCTCTCCGAGCTCAGCGGTCTGCGTTCCCCTCTCTGAGACTCGCTCTGACTCGCTTCAGCGGGACAGTTTTCACTTTTGACTCCAGAGCGTCTTCTGACTGATCCAGATCCGAGTGTTTGTTTCCCTCCAAAACTCGCCCTGATGTTCGAGTTAAACGATCGTCACAGAACGACAGAACTGAGCAGACACGGTGGGGGGAGAGGACCGGGTCTCAGCTGGTCATAAACCGTTTCAAAGAGGACCCCCCTGGACCCTGAGTGAGTCCAGCAGGATGAAGGTTTTCTTCTTGTTCATGGAGGTTTGATATTTTCAACACGTCAGCGGATCAGAACCAGAACCATCCCGACCTTCTGGACCTCTGCTGCTGGAGGAAGTCCTCCACGCCGAGGAGGAGCGCTCTTTAGACGAACGTAGAACAGTCAACAGTCCACGCCATCATCCTGATTATGGAGGGGGGGGGCATATGAGTGGACACACACACACACACACACACACACACACATAGACACACACACACACACACACACACACAGACACACACACACACACACACACGCACACACACACACACACTCAGACACACACACACACACACACATAGACACACACACACCCACACACACACACAGACACACACACACAGACACACACACTCACACACACACACTCAGACACACACACTCACAGACACACACACACACATACACTCACACTCACACACACACACACACACACACACACACACTCACACACACACTCACACTCACACTCACACACACTCACACACACTCACACACACACTCACACACTCACACTCACATACACACAGACACACACACACTCACACACACTCACACACACACACTCACAGACAGACACACACACACACACACACACACACACACTCACACACACACACTCACACACACTCACACACACACTCACACTCACTCACACACACACACACACACACACACTCACACACACACACTCACACTCACACTCACGCTCACAGACAGACACACACACACACTCACAGACAGACACACACACACACTCACACACACACTCACACACACACTCACACTCACACTCACACACACTCACACACACTCACACACACACTCACACACTCACACTCACATACACACAGACACACACTCACTCACACACACACACACTCACACACACACACTCACACACACTCACACACACACTCACACTCACTCACACACACACTCACACTCACGCTCACACACACACAGACACACACTCACACACACACACACTCACACACACACACACACACACACACACACACACACTCACTCACACACTCACACACACAGCAGCTGGTTTTAAATTCAGTGTAATGATCAAACTGAAAGCAGCTGCTGGGAAACTGAAGACCAGAACCCTCCGTGAGTCCAGAGACCCTCTCAGCCCTGATACTTCCAGGACATCCGGGGAAGAACCAGAACCATCAAGGTCCAAAAGACCAGGACCGCTGCCAAAACACCCAGAATCCACTTTGGTTGGAGAGCGACATCTGTCATCCACAGAGACTGTTATCCTGGGTTCAGAGTAGGGCTGATCGATACGTAAATAAAGATTATCAGGATATATTTCTTTCCTATCAGCTGATCATCGATCGATCATCGATCAATATCAGGATCTAAAAATCTAACAGTGTTTCTTGGTCTCATGTCTTTTCCAACACAATAATATCCTGCATCTGTGAGGTCTTTGTGTCTCTTTGGCGTTTTGTCGTAAGGCGTCGCTCTAGAGAAAGACGACTGAATGGTCGTCTGTTTCAGGCGCCATGGGCTCCTCGCTCCTCTCGGGGTTTGTAACCTTTTGCGTTGCGCGTGCTCTGCGGCGTGGCGCTGCTTCAGGTGGTGAAAAAGATTTGAGGTATTCCCCGACTTTGTGAGAACATGTACTCGACATAATTTACAGTCCACATTACTCTGCTTCATGTCCGACCTCCAAAAACCAAAATACCTCCACACCACCGACGTTTTCCTAACGCCAGTGTTGTGGTTGACATTGATGTGGTCATCTGTTGAGCCTTCATGGTCATTTCTGTCGGGGGTAGCACTCATTTTCTTTGTTTCTCACCAACAGTGCTGTCGGCTTCACCTGTTAAAGTGCTATGGTTGGGTGGAGCTGCTGTCTGCTACGACGCTGCAGTTGGTTGATACTTGGTTCTAATTCAGAACATGATTGGTTCAGACCCGGAGACACTCCCCTTTTCATTGGCTGTTCGTATAGTCGACCAAAACATGTCAGAATGACGACTATTGAAAAGGATATTGATCATGTTTGATATCGATATTGAGGGAAATTAATTAATTAAATCGTTAACGTTTTATCGCCCGGCCCTACTTCACTGTGACCTGAAAAGCGAATGTCTCCTGTTCTCCCATCATGCATTTCCTCTGATGGGATTCTCTCCTTCGCTCCACTGCTGCCATGTTCTGAACTTTAACTTTGTTTTTGGAGACTTTTATTTTGTAGGTTACAAACAGGAAGTCCACTGACCTCGTCGACGTTCTCAAAGGCGTTGATGACGTCGTACGGCAGGCAGGACAGCAGGTCGATGACAAACCAGGTCTTGACGTAGTTCATGCGGATGAGTTTGGGGTCCGAGATGACCTCCCCGGCTGGACCCACGAAGGTGGTGTGGAAGTTGAGGACGATGTCGACTAAGAAGATGACGTCCACGATGCTGTCCACCACCAGCCAGGTGACGTTGTTCTGCTTCGTTTTGAAGGAGACGTTGTACGGGACCATGATGGCGGTGTAGAAGGTCAGAATGAGGATGACCCAGTCCCACGTGGTCTTAAAGAGGCAGTAATGCAGAATGATGTGAGGCGGCGTCTTCGGCGTTTCCTGTTTGTACTGCGGCAGGATGTCCGAGCCCAGCTGCAGGACCTGAAACAGAAAACAACAAAAACACCGATTGGAGACGAGTTTGAGATCCTTCAGGGAGGCGGAGTCTCTCAGAGGTTCAGGACGCTGTGAGAGAGCGCGTGAGCGAACAGTTTCAGAATAAGGTTCCTGAGTGGATCATCGTCTACAGAAGTCTCTGTACTAAAGGGACCAGGACCAAAACCAGGACTGGATGGTCCTGATCTTCAGGACTCTGGAGTGGGAGTCAGCGCGTGGACTCAGAACCACCAAACTGTCAGAGACTAAAATAAACGGTTTCATAGAGAGAGTCCAGACAACACAGAGCTCTGCTAATGACGACCACGACGACGGGATCCATCGGCGCCGACGGCGGGTATCTCTCAGCGGTTAATTGGAGGATTAGTCACAGATAATTACAGCCGCAGAGCTCGTCAGTAAACGATGTCTTTCAGCAGGACAACTGATCAGCAACACTCTGCAGATTTCATTCTTCTTATCTCGAACCTTTTTCTTCTTCCTCCAACAAAGAGCCTGGAGGACATTTACTCAGATTTGATTCAGTTTTAAAGGATCACAGTGGAAACAGGTCATCAAACATGAGCGGGAGGACAAGAGACGGAGTGAGACGACTCCAAATGTTCTCAGTGGGACAAACTCAGAGAGAGGCGAGCGCCGTGTTTACAGGGTCTCCAGTTTCAGAATTAAAAGATCATCACATCAGCAGGCGACCAAAAATAGATGATCAGCAAACAGACGGAGCAGGTGATCTCCAGCTGTGAGGACGAAACTTTAATCTGCAGACTTCAGCACGTCCAAATAACTCTGAAGAACTGAAATCATCTCTCTGCTCCAGGAACTTCACTGTCTCCACCATCTGCTGCAGAACCAAACATCAGAACCAGTATCAGGGCAGAACCTCACCATTATCTTCCTATCCATTCATCTATCGATTATTCTAACCATCATTTTTTTACTAATCAATTAATATCACAACTAATTTCACCAAAATAACGATTTAAAATTTATCTTTTACTTTTTAATTCAACGATTTATTCAAGAATCTCTTTAAAACCAAAAAAAACATTTAGGTTAGAAAATACGGGACCACGCAAAATCACAACACCTCAGTCTTTTCAATCGATCAATCAATCGATCAATGACCAGAGAGCTTAAAATGGTCCAGAAAACCTGCAGCTCAAACCCGGTCCACGTGATGACAGATGGAACAGATCAGACCAGGACCTGCTGTCCACCAACCAGCAGGACGCTCACTTCCTGTGAGAGGATGACGGGC